TGGGGGGCGCCCTAATTAGACAAATTACGGTAGGCTCCATCACCTCTCCAGGCGGCCGTTCATCTGGCGGACATTGACGGTCAAAGCCCGGGCTACCGAGGTCAGCTGCTGCAGAGCGGACGCCAGCACAGCCGCCTGGTCCTGACCGGGAGGCAGCCGGGTCAGCAAACCGCTGGGGCCGCTGTCGAAATCCGGAGCTTGAGCTCCGCTCGAATCTCCCGCCTCCGCCATTTTATCAGAGACACACCGCCTCCCGGGCAAAGGGGTTCTGCGTCATCCAGCGCTACGTGACGGGCTGACGTCTTTACGCTGCCGCAATGACGTTCAACCCGGAGGCCGCCGGGAGTTGTAGTCTTTCCCCATCCAGATGTGGCCAACTAGAGAATCTAGATGGACCAACTCATTGAGTCACACTCCTTCTGGGGTAGAACTTTTTCTTTACGCAACAGATTTTTATCTCACAAATGTTTTCTGTTGCTGGAACAGCAGCCGACTGGGACCTTTGAGCAGACGCATTTTAAATTCATTCACAGGGTGTTAGCATGATAAAATCTGGACTTCAGGGGCTACATTATGAAGAGAGATTACACAAATTAGGCCTTTTTTTCTCTGGCATTTGGAAGGTTAATGGGTGATCTTGTAGAATAATGGGAAAAGACATGTTAGATAAAGATAAACTATTTCCACTGGTTGGGATTCTGGAACAGGGGCCATAGTCTGAGAATTAGGGCCAGACTGACCATTCAAAAGAGATATTAGGAAGCACTTCTACATGCAAAGGATGGTAGAGGTTTGGAACACCAGGATATTGCCAGGACTAGGGGGTTTGGGATATAAAAATAGACTGGAAAAGCTGGGACTATTTTCACTGGAGTGTAGGAGGTTGAGGGGTGACCTTACTGAGGCTTATAAAATCATGAGGAGCGTAGATAAGATGAATACAAGGGTCTTTTCCCTAAGATAGGGGGAGTTCAAAACCAAGGGGCATAGATCATAGAATCCCTATAGTGTGGAAACAGGCTCTTCAACCCAACAAGTCCACACTGACCCTCAGAACATCCCATCCAGACCCATCCTCCTATAACCCACCTAATCTACACATCCCTGAACACTACAGGCAATTTAGCACAGCCAATCCACTTAGCCTGCACATTTTTGGACTGTGGGTGGAAACCGGAGCACCTGGAGGAAACCCATGCAGACACGGGGAGAATATGCAAACTCCATACAGACAGTCACCCAAGGGTGGATTTGAACCCTGGCTCTGTGAGGCAGCAGTGCTAACCACTGAGTCGCCATGCTGCCCTCCAAGGGTTAACGTGAGAGGAGAAAGATTTAAAAAGGATATGAGAGGCAACTTTTTCTACACAGAGAATGGTTCATGTCTTTCTCCAGAGAAAGTAGTGGATGCAGATACAGTTACAATTAAAAGAAATTTGGATAAGTTCAAGAAAAGGAATGGTTTGGAGGGATATTGGGCCAAGTGCAGGCTGATGGGACTAGTTTAGTTTGGGAACATGGTTAGCATGGACTGCTTGGCCCAAAGGGTCTGTTTCCATAAGCCTCTCGTTGTCTGTCATTTTAATACACCACTCCGTTCCCTGACCAACATATCTGTCTCTGGCTTGCTGCAGTTTTCCAACCAAGCTCAATGCAAGCTGGAAGGACAACACCTCATTTTCCACTTGGGAACTCTGTAATTCTCTGGACTCTATCGAATTCAATAATTTTAGGGCCTGAGCTCTCCCATGCCTTAGCCCCCTACCTCACACACCAGGCCTTGTTATCACATAGTGACTAACAATAGGTAGTAGGTAATGGCAGATTAACAGACTCCATTAATAGCTATTCAACCTCCTAGCCAGATCGTTATCAACTCCTTGGTCTTTCCAAATGCTGTTCTCTCTCTTCAGTCTCTATCCTTTATTCTATCATTTACTCCCTACCCTATGCCCCTCCCTATTTTCTGCACATAAACCGACGTTTTCACAGCTACCATCAGTTCTGAGGAAGGGTCGCCGAACCCGAAACATTAACTCGGATTTTTTTCTTCACAGATGCTTCTAGACCTGCTGAGCTTTTCCAGCAACTTCTGTTTTTGGGTCTGTTTCCATGCTGGATGACTCTAAGTGGCAGTGGCTGCTGGATCAATTGTTGATTTTAAATCTGAGAAAGAAGATTCTGAGGTAATAAGGGATATGAGCCAAAGGCAGGCATATGGAATCAGGCCACAAATGTGCCATGAGCTAACTGAATGGCAGAACAGATGCGAGGGGCTGAATGGCCTTCTCCTTTTCCTATCAAGGCCAAAACTGAGGTTGTAGACATGCTCACCGAGCCAGTGGGTTTAGTTGCAAACGTTTGGTCACCCTACTAGGTAACATTGTCAGTGTTCCTCTGGTCAAGTTTCACCGACGATATTACCTAGCAGAGTGACGAAACGTTTGCAACCAAACCCACCGGTTTGGTGAGCATGTCTACAACCTCATCCACAACCCGAGCTACAAATCTTCTCAAAAACGTTAAAGGCCAAAATCGACAGGGTCTGGCGTCAAGGAACCCTAGCAAAACTGGACTTAATAGGAATCAGGGAAAATCACTCTGCTGATTGAAGTCATACCTGGCACATAGGAGTTGTGGCTATTTGGAGGTCAGTTATCTCAGCTCCAGGACGTTGCTGCAGGAGTTCCTCAGGTTAGATATTTTCTAATCAACCTGCTTAGAAAAATGTTACTGCACAGCGCTGGAGTGGGTGGGACTTAAACTCAGTCTCTAGCACCCAGCCGTCTTCAGCTGCATCAGCAATGACCTTCCCTCCATCATAAGGACCCCTGGCCGATTTGACCTCAAACCAGCATCGCTGCACAGCTCCACCTAGTCCTGCACCTTTAAGTTATATTGTGTGCATGTGGAGTCTGTTGTAATGTAGGAAATGCTCCAGCCAATTCCCAAACACAAACAGCTACAAGTGAAATGAACAGACAGTCTGTTAGGACATTGGTTCTAGAAGTACAATGTCTAGAGACCGTCCTATAAAATAATGTAAATGAATGGCAGTTATTGGAGGTATCCCTATAGCACAGGTGATGTATAAGCAGGTCACATGTTTGCAAACTTCCATCATATGTGGTCCAGAAAATTGGCAGAAGGTGGGTATAATTAGAGAGTATACAGGCTGGGCTGTTTTCCTTAGAGCAGAAAAGGGTGAGGGTAATTTGGTTGAGGTGCACCCAAAGTTCTAATGCAGAGATATGGGAAACTTTTCCCCTTTATTTGGGGGTCAGTAACCAGGTAGCACAGTTTTAAAGTTAGGGACAGGATGTTTAAAGAGGATTTGAGGAACTTTTCTCTCCTAGAAGGTTGTGGGTATCTGGAACTCTTCACCTGAAAGGGTGGTAAGAGGCAAGGACCCTCAAAACATTTAAGAATAATTTAGATGACCACTTAAAATGTGGTTGGAAAATGGGATTAGATGCATGTTTGATGACCAGTGTGGACACAATGGGCAAAAAGGCCTCTTCCCATGATGTAAAAACTTTGATTCTAATCATCTCAAAAACACTGGTCAGGGAACTAGCGGTTAATTGTTGGGTGACATCTGGAATAGTACAATTCAAAGATGCGCAGGTCATGCTAAATTGCCTATAGTGCCCAGGGATTTTGTAGTTTAGGTGGATTAGTCATGGGAAATGCAGGGTTAGGGTGGGATGCTTTTTGAGGGATCAGTGTGGACTTGATGGGTCAAATAGCCTGCTTCCACACCACAGGGACTCTATAATACAAACAGTACACACCAAGCTGAATCTCACTCCAGGAAGAGCAGGAAGTTAATCACTAGGTGATATTTGTGAACCCCTTTCGGCTGAAGGTGGAGGCTTTCATGCTGCATCTACATTCCCGACATTAGAAAAACCTGCTCCAATTTCACTCAAGTCCCTTTGGCAGGATGCTAATGGCTTTTAAATATAAATGTGCAAGGGTTTAATAGTGTTGGAGTTTATCTAGGGGAGGGATAGGGTATATAGAGGTATTAGTCTGTTCAAGAAGGGGAACGAGCAAAACTTGCCTGCATCTCGAATTGTAAGAGACAATGCGCATTTTTTTTTGGGGGTGGGGGTGGGGAGAGGGGGCCATGAAGTGAAATTGAAGGTTATAATTGCTGAAACGCCAGCAGAGTACAGCAACTTGGAAAACAAGTCCTACGTACTTTTAGCTGAGGACAACGTTGCTTCTTGAACCAGCGAGGGAGAAGACTCAACACAGTAACCCCAGCTTTTGAGTTGAGAAAATTCAGCCAGATAACACCTACCTGATTGGTTGATTGAGCTGCACACAGTTCATAACCAAAAACGATTAAAGAATTTTCAATTTACAGGCTGTGAGGGGGAGAAAAGACCACAAACCTAACCAGGAAAACTTAAAGAATAAGATCTACTCATGCCATCAGCTACTAAATTGACAAACAAAGCATCACCCTTCAGACAAGAGCATGCCACAATTTGCTGAAAATTAAGGAAATTGAAACAATTTTCTACCTTGTCTGAACTTTTGACCTTCAGAACCTTTCTTACCCCGTTTATATTCTTTTTCCACCGGTAATGTGTTAGATTAACTGTTATTGTGAATGCGTATGCATTTATCATGGGGAGGGGTAGGGGTGGTTTAAGTGGCTACAGTTTAAAGGTTCACATGGTAAGATTAGAAGTCGTCTTTGCTTTTGTTAGAAATGTGTTACAAGAAACAGTTCTTTTCTCTGTCGCGAGTTACTTTTGTCCCAAATAGCAGTTGGTCAGGCTAAGTGATCACCTTGGCTGTCTGATAGGAGTTATACACTTAGTGAGGACTTGTGGAACCTGCTGGCCACAATTATTGGTATGCTCTTCCCAGTTAAGTTGTGATAACCTAACATTTTCATGAACGGTGCGCGCACACACAGCACAGGAAAATCAATGTTCGTAGCAGGCAGGAATGACAAAATGACAGAAAAAGAAAACAGCAGCTTACAGCAATTATTTTTATTTACTGTATTTTTTTTTCCATTAAAATCTCTCGGTTTTGGTACTACCTTAACATTTCACTACCGCTAGGCAGCACCGTGCCCAGTTACAGACACAAACTCCATTGTACACACATTTATTATTACCAGACAGTCCCATTTTTTTTTTGTTCCTGCATTGTCAGTGGGTCCCTCCCTCCCTCACCCCCAAAAAGGTTAAAAACAGACACTGCGAGGCAGCATTACAAAAATCAAGGATATTGCAAAACAGCAGGGCTGATGCAGAGCATGGCTTTCAGGGTTTTTGGTGCACGTAGATTGCCCAGGCAGTGCAGTCTACGTTAATGAGTTCATGTTGACAACTCTGCAAATGAGCGCTGCCTATCAAACTCCTCTGTGCAGAAACTCATTCACTTGAGGGTCCATCAAGGAAAACAGCCACGGTGAAGTGTCAATTTGTAACCATAGGACTGCTGGAGCTATTTTGGGCAAATGAACTCTTTTTCTACTGCCCCCTCCCACCCTTGAATCATTTGTCACAAATGGCTGCCCTCCCATGGCACTGCTCATGATGACAGACTATATTTTTAGGGAGATGATTAGACCAAGTACAAAGTACTATTCTGGTGCTGTATTGCAGCCATGTCATGTCTCCCCTGTCAAGACAAGGTGCAATATTTCAAACCTTTGACATTATTCACACTTAGGAACAGCCAAGGACAATTAGAAGTTGACTGCTCTGAGAGACTCCAGGGTCAATTAGAGGCAGAAATACCATTTACAAAAACCTCTCTAAAGGCCAAGTATTGTTGATCCAGAAAATTCCTTGTGCATTGAAAAAGATTGGCTTTTCTTTACAAAAAAACATCACAAAATATGCTCGGCAAGGACCTCATCAGTGATTAGTGTGTCAAAAAATATATATATTTGCATCCTGGGAAAAAAAACCCACACTTAAACACCTCTTCAGCAAGAACACTTCAAATGGTTCCCAACAGAACGACTGGGGTCATGAACTGCAGAGGCTCTAGCTAAGGAGGGGAGATGTTGGAGATAGGGGACAGGTGGGGGAAATGGAGAGATCTTTTGCTGTCTTTAAAAGGAATTTATGCTCAGTGTGCCCCGCAAGTATCTGTAGCTGCAGTCACTGCTTGTACCAATCAATCATTTAATCACCACAGGCAAAATTTAAATAAACATATTTCATGTAAAAAGCATCATTCTAACACTGAGGCAAGTTCATCAATATCAGTGCCAAATACCAAATGATGCAAAATCTCATGCATCACCTTCCGAATGACATTCCAGGTACAAGGAAGCATGCATCCAACTTCAAGCCAGTTCCAAGAACTTACTCCCATTCAGTGCGCCATGAGAGATTCCGCAGCACATCTATGTAGCTCAGTATACTTGCCGCAGTGAAACAGGGGAGATGAGAACTGGTAAAAGATGAGGGGGGAAAGGGAGGGAAAACAAAAATAGCATTGCTCAGGGGCAGGGATGCATTCAGCAACCACATGTTTACAGGCTGCAGTAAGGAGCACTGCACACACCAACATGTGAAAAGTGAACTTGACAGAGCTATTGGCACCAAGCCCCATCGACCTACAATAAACATTTAGCCCCATGACATTCAGGATTCCTGTCAGCTACGGAGTGTGAAATCCAGCTTTGTGCATGGGTGGGGTGGGTTAATTATTTTTCCCTTAATCTCGTCTTCTGTCTGGCACTAAAGACAGAGTAACTTTATACACTTGAAGCAGGGATTTAACCATTCTATTTTAAAAGAAGAATTCATGATGGGGATTAAACAATTAGGCTACTTTTTTTGCCCCCCCCGAAACACCTTCACCTTCCTCTGAAGATCAAAAGCCCTCAGAGAAGGAAGAATTCAAAGGGTATTATTCCAAGTCCTATGGTCAGAAGGGACACTTCACATAGGCATTATCACCAGATGTTGTATGGCAGCACAAGCAAAGACTGGGCCAGAGAATAACGAGTTTAACCTATACCAGTTCTGCCTGGTATGATTCCAGTCACTACCTGCCCAAGTACCTGTGCCTGGGACCCCAGCCCTGGCTGTCCTCAGTAGGTGACCACTAACGAGGCTGACAGGGCTAAGAGAGGCAAGCGTACTCTATTTGAAACCACCCCTTGATCACGGAGTCGGGGGGCAGGCAGGTAGAACTTAAATCCACTGAACAAGCCTAGATTTGTCGCGCCCTTCCCAGATGCTGATGGGATTCTCCCATCGCAAAACCATGCACTTGTTTTGACACAAGTCGGTGGGGGAGAAAATCAGGCAAACAACTGGGTCGACTGTTGGCCTGACATGCTGCAGACCAGCCAGCTTCCCAACTTTCTCCACAACATGGCGCGAGGAAAGAACTGTTAGAAGGATCAAATGCATTTATTAGAAAATAGACTCATCTCTGCCCCACCCTCCCACCCATCCCCGCCCTCCCTTCCCCACAGCTAACTTGACATTAAAAAGGCTGCATTGTACATTAATAACCCTGCAGGGTAATGATTAGGAAAAACATCGCTTGAGTTGAAAAGCAAGTCTTATTTCTCTCGTGGGTAAAATAATTAAAAGAAAACACGCAGGCAGGCGCACATAAACAGAAGCTTTTCTGGAAGGCTGTGGCAGGAGAGGCTGTACAAAGCATTGTAAATACAAAAACTGCAACATTATTGGCTCCACTCAGCTTCTTTTGCTCTTCTCGTTCACGCCTGCATTCCCCCTGGTCTGCAGCATTAATCTGGTATCAGCGTAACCGAGAAGATGTGAAGAATAAGCACCAAAAGATAAAAACAAACACAACGGAAAAGAGGGAAGCCACCTCCTCTCGCTGTTGTCCAAAGAAAATAAGAGAGCTCATCCTGAACTGGCAAAGGGGCAAACTCCCCTCACCGCACGTCTCTAATCTAGTTAGGGATAGGGTAGGACTGCATAATCTGCTTAGATGCAACAGAGCCACAGCCTCTGTAGCAACTGTTGGTTAATGGAGGAAGTTAAGGAGAAGACATGCGCGCTTATCTGTGTGATACAGGCTGGAAAGGATTGCGTGACATGGACACAGTAGTCCACACGCGTAAACTTGCTCTCTCTCTCTTTCCCCATCCCTCCACCACCTGTCATTAAGCCCCAAAGCCAGACCATACACTTGAAAAGTATGACATTCTGCCACTTGGCTGCAGGAAAGACAGAGGCTCCTGCATGAAGTGTAATCTTGAGGTTGGCATCGTGACAGTGGTTTCAGCTTTACATTAGCTAACGAGGGATCACATGCCACCACAGGGGTGTAATATTAAGACTGCAACGTGTATAGGTGGGTCTCAGTTGGGCAGAAAAGGCCAGGTTTACTCATTCGCCCCTCTGCTTGCCCTGAAGAGATGCTAGCACTGAACATCAGTTTGACTGCACACCTGTGAAGCATTCTTCAACCAGGGATGGGGCTCATGTCAGCAGGGACTGGAGTAAATCTTGCAGCCTTTGAGCAATCTTAAGCTGCCAGGTTGACTAAAAATTTATTGAAAGGCATTGCCTCTGCACAACTCCACTCAGGACCTGCACAAACAGCAGTTCTGCCAGTGTTAAAGGGCGTTAAAGGAATTAAAAAGTGTTTCCTGGCACGTTTACATGTGCACACGCAAGCGTAAGTGTTAAGACCTGTTGCGGATATGGGAGGGAAAATGAGAGGGTGCGAATGCAATACTACGCACACGAGTGCAAGACAGCACACGTGAACAGATAGAAATGGGAGGCAGCACGCATCAGCGAGAGAGAGTGTCCTTTATACATTCCATATTAACTACTGTGGTACATCCATTGAGGAAGAGCTGAAATGCCCCCTGGAAAGCCAGGCACTCACCTTGTCAAAATGAGAGTAGAAATAAAATTAAAAATAAAAACAGAACATCTAAACACTAGCCAAAAACTCTGAGTGAAGCCCCCACGGCTACCTGCTGCTCCATTGGAATGAAACTATGTTGCAGCTTGGCTGGGGGGTGGTGGGCTACTGAGGGGAGACGGGAAGGGTAAGAGTTAGGGGAAGAGAAGGGAAGGGGAGGTTCGCACAAGGTTCAGCTTTCATCGGTAACCATAGTAACTGTTGTAGTAGCGGTTTCGCTCCTCGTAATAGCGATGCCACTAGAGATGAAAAGAAGAAAGAAAACAATACAGCATATTAACAGTGTCTCCACTGACTACACAGTTTATACCCAAAGCACTGATCTTAAGTACCACAGTTACACGCAGGCCCAGGTGAACATGTGCTCAGCAACTCACAGGACAAGCTCATTGAGTGGGAAAAGCCTTGTGACACTCCAACTGGCACACACCGCCACTCCCCACTGCCCCCCAAACCATGTGTCACTGGATCAGACTTTGTTATCTTTTGTTCTACTTTTATCCATTCTTGGAATGTGTGCATCGTTGCACAAGGCCCCAGCACTTATTGTTCATCCCTCACTGACCCTTGAAGAGGCAGTGGGACGTCACTGCCATCCATACACCTGACAGGACAGCTAGTCACTTTTTAATAGAACAGAATGGCTTGTTAGGGCCATTTCAGATGACAGTTGAGAGTCAGCCACATTGCTGTGGCTCCAGAGTCAGGTTTAAGCTAGACCGTTTGAGGACGGTATTAAATCATCTCGAAATTCCTCAACTGCCCTGACTGCATTTGTACAGTCATCACTTATCCAATAATCTAGGGGGCCTAGATTATCTGTCCAGTAAGATTACCACAAACCAGGTAATGGAGTACTATATTGCTCTGGTTAATGTGAACTAGTCCAGAGACTGAACATCAAACATGGGTACAGTCAACAGTGACCCACTTGCTGGTGCAAGTGCGCCCTACTCCTCTAATTTGCTCCCAGGTGACGGGGAACCCAGACTACATGAAATCCTGAAATAGCAGTGAACACTGAGTCGATACTTACCTCGCGAGCGTAATCCCGGTAATAGTCCCGGTATCTGTGGTAGTCATAGGGCTGCGGGTAAGGCCGGTCGTACTGCTGCCTGTATCGGTCATAAGGTTTATGGTAATCCTGTGGTAACAAAGCAGTGAGGCAGCACATCATGATGGGCACACCACTCCCTTCAGGTAGAGTGAGGGTGAAATTAAACAAGGGTGCTTCCTGGGGAAAGTACTGGGGTAAAAGGGGCCAGTAGATCTTCAACATCAAGACACAAAGTAAGAAGTTAATCAGATCAAAGCAAAGGGGCAAACAGGCCAGGAAAAAGATCAATTCCTATCTTTTACTCCAAGCAGCTTTCCCACCATGTTCTTAACTTGGTGTTGAAGGGGCCAAGCTGGGTAGATCGGGCTAAGATACACATCAGCTGTGATCTAATAGAATGGCAAAACTCAAGAGGTTGAATGGCCTCTTATTGCATACCCCGCCTCACTCTTACCTCTCTGTATGCTGGGTGATTGCCATAGGCTGGGCCCCATCCATGCCCGTACTGTGGCCGATCGTAGTTCCTATTGTCCCACCTGCCCATGCGATAACCACCTGGATGAAGAGAACAAAAGGGGAGGATGATTCATTCAACCCATACATCTGGATGGTGTCAAGCTTCTTGAGCGTTATTGGGATCTACTCTCCACTCGCCTGGACGAGTGTAAAGAGAGGAATTATTCACTGCAGAATTCCCAGCCTCTGACCTGCTCTTGTAACCACAGTATTTATATGGTTGGTTCAGTTCAATTTCTGATCAACTGTAAGCCCCCAAGTCATTGATAGTGGGGTAAACTCAGCAATCTCAATGCTACTGAACCTCAAGTGGCAATGGATAGATACTGCCTTGCTGGAGATGGTCATTGCCTGGCACTTATTAGTTGCCGCTCAGCAGCCTACGCCTGGATTTTGTCCAGGTCTTACTGTATTTGGACAGTCAGAAGTCACATGACACTAGATTATAGTTCATCAGGTTTATTTGAAATCCCAAGCTTTCAAAGCACTGCCCCTTTGTCTGGTTCACATATTTGGACCTGGAAAAGCAGGGGAGGTTGTTTGTGCAGTGTCTCACCATAGTTCCGGTCCCGGTCGTTGCGATTGCGGTAGTTACGTCGATCTTGCCGTTTCTCCTGTTGTGGCCTGGCTTTCTTCGCTTCATCTCGATATTTGCTCACCAGTTTGCTGGCCGGTTCCTTCTCCAGCTCCACGTAGGTCACCTTGTCCAGGAAATCGCTCGCCTCAGGGAGCGTGAAATTGACTGAAATCAACGTTAAAAAGGGATTAACAAAGAGGTGGAAACGCAGATGTGCGTGTGCAACAAGTCCCGTTAGCTGTGTGGTGCTGGTAGAAGCCAGGCAGACATCACTACAGCCCTTTATTCCACACTTGCCCCTCTACCTTTATCAATTTTCTTCAATCTAGCCCCGTGGTTACCAACCCTCCCGTTACTGGAAACACTTTCTCCATATCCACTGTAGCCAAATCCCTCAGGATCTTGCACATGCCCTATCCATTAATCATCCTCAGACTTTCTCAGCTGTTTTGACAGCACTGCGGACTGTGGAGACATCACAGGTTCAAGCGTTCACAAATGCCTGCGATGCCCAGCTGATGGCATCAGACAGTTAGCAACATCGAGCCACGGGTACAAGACTACCATTAAATTTAGCGTGCCCCAGAAACACAGCACAGAAACCCCTGGGTCTGCCCACCAACCCTCCACCCCACTCACCTTTCATTTCATTCAGTGCAAAGTCTGGGACGTCGTCACCCTCCTCTGCAGTTCGCAGCTTCATTCTTGTCTTCCAGTCCTCATCACTTGGGCAAATCACCATAGCCTGGCGGTAAAATCCTTTGAAGGGAATCATCTTCCGCCGTTGAGCTGAGCTGTAGACGTTGGTCTGGAAGTGGAACACCAACAGACAGAGGTAAGCATGCAGAGTCAGAATATCTAACGCTGTACATCAGAATGATCTAAAATTCCCGCCACGCTCCGGGGAGAATTAAGTTTTTCTGGGGTGGCATGGGACGAACTGCAATCTTACTAGTGTGGAGCCTGACTGCCACCATCAGTCCTTGCCAAAGCAGCAAGAGACCAGAAGACAGGGCATGTGAAGTTCAAACAGTGTAAAAATGGTTTTCTTCACTGGCTGTAGGAAAATGGAGCTTTGGACATGATCAACAGCATCAGGTGAATCAAGCAGGACAGCAGGATCAAAGGAGACCTGCAGTGAGATTAATCAGGGTCTTTCTCCGATTATGGCTCAGAGCCCATAACTGCTTTCTGTCACAGTTTCCAGTCTGCAAAACCTTTTTTGGGGTGGGGAGAGGGTTAACTGAGCTCGTGATTCCAATCAACAAACCAATGATCAGGGCACATGTAAACTGGTAGCCCTGCAAAAGGTAGTTTCAGGAATCAGGCAAAATATAGAACAGACAGACCCCCTGGGAGATCACAGCGAAGTTAGATCGCTTCCACAGGGAGAATGTACTAGAAGTAAAAGCAGCCTCCAAAGATTAACGTCAATTTTGAGCGCCTTCTCTTGCCCAATACTTTGGTTCTGCACAGCGACGTTGTAATGCCTGACCAGAGTTTGATGACTCAGGACTGGGGGTGGATGATTAAATTGGTCTACTAGCTCTCACTTCTGGAGACCACACTGCTCAAATTGAGGAGGGTCGGTGACTATAATACACTATTTGAACAGACTAAGCAGACTGCTGCAACGCGCTGTTTAAATAGATCTTAAGTTTAATGCCACCACCAGCTCACTGACACAGCAAAGCATTTAGAATATTTCATGGAAGATCCCTCCAGAAGGACGATACCTGATCAAGGATATAGTTATGCTTCTTGCAGGCTGCGATCTGAATGAATTTACTCAAGCACTGTGTCGCCTGCTGGGTCAGAACATTCCGTCGCTCTGCATTCATTTCAGGTCCTTCCAGTCCTTTGACCTGGGGTCAACACAGCCAAAGAATGCATCCTTTAAGAATCTTCTTTACACAACACAGGAGTTTTTATATTGAAAATACCCATTTCTCCCAAAAGCACCAATTCGTACTGGAGTATGGTGTTACTTCAACTTGCCACATGGAATTATTCATGTGTATTCATTCGGCTCAAGGAGAAATCAAAGCCATGGCTGCTCATTGCCTTGATGGACACCCCACAACTCTCTATAGCTGAGGCCACAGTCAGATTAAGAACAGGCTCAAGTAGCCAAATGGCTTACTCTGGGTCCTAATTTGTGTGGTATGACCTTAAGTCTCTGAAAGAAATTTGGACTTTTTAAAAATACCAGCTTGAAAGAAATTAAGTGATTGACAGGAACCCGGGCATTTATAGATGAGAATGGAGTTTGGTTAAAATAAAAGACTGTTAAATTGACTATTCAACAAAAAATCCCAGACTAAACTTGGATGGTGTCATGCTAGACTATCTGAAAACTTAAGATAAACTGGCCTTGAGAGACGGAACAAAAAATACCAGGTGGTTGTTTGCTGTTGGTCCATGGGATAATGGAAAGTTACTGGAAAAAAAACTGCCTTTAAATCAGAAGGATGTGTATAAAGCCAATCATTTCAGCAAAGATCATAGAGTGCTCACATGCTGAGCTGACATTATCTGCTAAACACAGGCATGAACTGCCAACGTAATTGTTAACCTCCCTCTCTCCCGAGGCAAATGAATTCCAAATTTCAAGTTCCGTTCACAAATAAGGTTGAAAGAATCTTTGACCGTTAAAATTTGCTAGGCCACAATGTTAACAAAAATCATACTGTTCAAATAAATTGAAGCCTTGGCCAGTCTCACTTCTGTTAACCCTAAACGCATCATAGACCATAAACCAAGACTTCTCACCCTCATCTTGTCCAGAATATTGTGTGTGCCCAGTACAATGTACCGCTTCTCTGGATTTTCGGCCACGTGCTTCTTCACCCAAGTCGTCTTACCCACTCCTGGCAGCCCAACCATCATTATGACCTGTGGGGAGAGCAATGTATTTTGCAATTAGATGCTTGGTAAAGCACAATTTATACTACATAAGAAAGGGATGCTGACTGGTTGGGGCACCGCCATGGAGAACGGACCAGAAAATACAGGCCCTCCCCCACTCTTTTATTCTGAGAACCAGGCAGGACAGTGTCAGAATAAGGATCTTTAAGGGCTGAGATGAGGAAGAATTTCTTCAGTGTGGTAAAATCTTATCTATGCCAAAAGGCTCTGGTGGCTTAATCTTGAGGCATATTCAAGACTGAGATGAATAAGAGATAATGAGATACAGGCACAGTACGAGAAAACAGTGTTGAGGTAAAAGATCAGCCACAATATCACCCAAGGGCTTGGAAAGGCCACTCAGAATCATGTAAGTGTTAAGGCACAGAAGGAGGCCATTCAGACTACCATGCCTAGACCGATTTCTTATGTTCTTGGCAATGCACCAAGTGATAAGGATTTGGAATGTGTTGCCTGAAAGCGATATGGAGGCATGTGTTAGCAAGGCTGTCAAGAGGGATATGAATCAACATCTGAAGAGGAATAAAAAAAAAAATTTGTGGTTCTGCGGGAAAAGACAGAGTGTGGGAGCAGGCAAATCAGTCTTTCAGAGAGCTGGTATGGAGACAATGGGCTGAATTGCTACCTCCTGTAATGCAGCTGCTCTCCAATTCTATTTCCAGTGCTTACTTCACATGCATCCTTAGTTTTGGGACCAACTGCTCCCCGAATACGCTCTTCCAAGATAACATTCTGAATGAAGACATAGCCCTCTGGAATCGGGAAGAAAGGTTCCTCTTTGTGGCCAAAGTTGCACTCCACTGCGCAGTTTTTAGAAAGGATGTGAGGGAATAGTGCTTCCTCGCCAAGGGACTCCTTGCTAATTGAGAAGGCCACACCGAGGCATGTTCCGTTCTTCGAAAAGGACAGTTCCACCTCCTCACTATCAAAATCCTGCAAATGGACAAACAAAACACGGGTTACAGCAGACAGCATAAATGACCAGCAATGCAAAATATGAACCCTCACCAAAAGTCCCATGTCTGTGTGTGATGGTCTCACTCCAGTTCCGACTGACTATCCTTTGAAGGCAGAATACTGCTGCAGTTTGGTACGAATAAACAATCTCACTCAGAGGCAATTTGGCAGCCAGTGTGGGAAATGCAGCAGCAATGGAAATCTAGGTCCAGGAGGAGCGTATTCAGATTTTAACTCTGTATCAACATTGTGCTGCACCTGTCTTGAGAACATTTGATGGGGATATTATGGAGAAAGCTTTACTTTCACTTTGAAAGAGTAGAGGGAGATTTATTCTTTATCTAACAGACTGCTGTGTGGGTATGGCACGTTGCTCCATTCGAAATAGCTCAAACTAAACAAGATTTTAGCCACATCATTAATTTCGAGGGCCGTACAATTAATTGTAATTGGTGTCAATAAGCCAATCTAGTAGACTCACATCATATACTTACAGCAAAACAACCAATGACATCATTTTCATCAAACGTCTCTCCATATTCCTCAAACTTGGAGTTTTCCCACTTTCTCCCGGCTCCATCATACCCATAGGAAAATTCCCCGTCTCCTGCAACGTATTAATGTTTAAGTGTTACCCAAATTGAAACAAAATACATTCATTGTCAAGGTGGGATTAGGCAGGGTGAGGGTATTAGTCAGTGTGGACACAGTGGGTTAAGTGTTACTGTTCTGGCAATTCCATAGCATTTACGTACCCAGTTGCAGCGAGGAGCTGTCCAGGGACCAACCCACACGGACAAGGTGGCGCTCACTTTCGCTCTCGGGCAGTTGTTTGACAGGAATCTTCTGGGTCACCTGAAATTGAAGTAGAGCGTGCACCTGTTAATGTCGCAAGTAATGGCCATTTACAATAGCTTAATTCAATCTCCCCCACCGTCTTTCCACCTCTTTGAAGATGGCACAGCACAAGTGCCTGCATCTTTGACCAGCAAAGGATATTTCATGGGAAGGCACTCTCAAAGGCAGGACATTGTGACTGTGCCTCCTGTGGTCACCCAGCAGAGGGTCTCAGAGGGAACCTACGCTTGAAGCACTTTCACAGCATAGTCAGGGCGATGTGGGAAGCATGGACATTGCCACAGATAACCTTTTAATATTGCTGGCAGGTGACCATTCCTTACAAGGATTGTGATGCCGGGCTCCCTATGCAATGGATGTGTCAGAGCCAATCCTGAATGAAAGGCACATTTCTGGTGTTTGGGGAGCAGGGAAGGTATTGGTTCGACGACTAGTTGGACCAACCACAAGCTTACTGCAGTGATGCCAGTCTTACCTTCACCTCAAAGCAGACTTTCCCCTTGGTCACACCATAGGTAGCTCGCACACCGGCCCAAAGGTAGGCAAACTTCTCAGGGGCGAGTGGCTGCCCACCATAACGGTCCTTGGCCACTTGGAAATGAATGTCAGAATTATCTGTGAAGTGGATAAAGAAAAAAAAAAGAGCAGAACAGTTGAAACATATGGCATTTCCAGGAATGTCAGGGCTGTTGGACTGGTGGTCAATCCCCAGCTTCACCAGAGTTTGACCCACACCAGAAATGCTCTTATTTAAAACCACAGGTCACGGTCCAATCTTAAAGCGACCAGCCTGGTGGTTTCACTTGGAACAATTAACATCAACGAGACCAGAGGTGCTGGGGAGCATGGCTACAGTGCAGCCAACCTGAGGGTGCTCCCCACTCTGGAACCTGTAAGGTACAAAGTCTGTTCTGCTGGCCAATGTAAACCCCGCGAGTCAGTTTTAACTTCTGCCGAGTGGATTGAACAACCGGTACGTGCAGTGGCGAACTGCATCTGCAACGAGATGTCCTACAGAGTCGAACTTTCAAAGAAGTGTCTTTGGTTGCCGGTTGAACGAAGCCTGCTGGCCCACAGTTTCTCTCTCCAACTCATCTGGAATGTCAGCAACAAACTCCCATGATCCAACAAGTCTCCAATGCTTCCGATTTGTCGACCACCCCCACCCTTCCCATGCCTTCCGTAAACGCCAAAAGCCGTGCTACGCGGTCTGAGGGCATAACGGAAATATTAAGAGACCATTTTTAAACTGACGGAGTAAACGTTGACCGTGGCCTCACAGAACGTCGCACTTACAGGTGTCGAGACAAACTAAACTGTCGTCAAATTCCTCTTCAGCCTCCTCCTCCCCCGCAGGCACCGGGGACTTTGCCCTGTAGGGATCAACAGACACAATTTAGAGGCTGCAGCAGAATAAAACCAGGGTATGGGACAGTAGCGCAGCAGCAGAAGTTGCCTCAAGTGAGGGACCGAGGTGGAGTTCAACGTCAACATCAAGCGGGGGAGGCAATAAAAATAGAGTAACCATAACAGAGGGACCTTACCACACAGAAAGCAGGCCATTTGGCTCAATCCTGCTCCACACAACCTTGCGAATAAGTGCCACTTGAAGTAAACAGCAGATCAAGCATGATCAGATATGCATGTTATAATAAATATTGGTGCTCAGACTTACCCAAAGAGGTAACCACTGTTGCTCAGAGACAGTTAAATGATAAACATAAAGGAAGTGCTCAAGAGCTTGGCACGTTCCAAGCAGGATCGATATTTAAACACATATCACCAATACATCTCTCCATCTCTCTCTTTCTAAGACACCAACTCCACATGGATTGGATCTGCACAGATACTTTACGTTCTTCAATAGTGCTCCTCAACGACCATTTCCTATATTTTCACCCTGGGGTCTTGACCCCAAACGGTCACAGCAATTGGTTAAATCAAACCCATCATATCAATTTTCTGGCTGATAAAATCCACTGTGAAACTAGAGAAATCAAGAGACTGTTTGCCTTCTCTCATGGACATATCAGTTTTTTTTTTAAGAAATCAAGTAATTTATAAAAAGCCAGATGTTAGCTAGCCATGTAAAATTTATGTACAAGGTAGAGACGACATTGGGAGAATGATCTAAAATTTTGCTCTGTACAGCCACCTAGTTGCAGTAGTGTTTGTTAATGTTGTGTGACAAATAATATGCAGGATCATACTGTACAGGAGGCAGTCTTCCAATCCATAGTAGCCTGGTCAGGTACTTAGTCCCACTCCCATTACTCGATCGCCCTGCGAATTTCTCACCACCTCACCTTAGCCAACCTCAAGTTTCACTCAATTCTGCTTGGAAAATTATTATTGAATCTTCACAGCAAGTACAAGAATCAGTGTTTGGGGAGAGCTGAAGTACTTATACATACTTAGTAGTTGAGGCGTAAATCATTTACACGATCATGGGAATTCCCTCACCGGTTGTAGTAAGTCTCCTCTCTGAACTCGTAGTACCCACGGCCGCGATCGTCGTGCCGTCTCTTCTGTCCTCGCCGCTCGTTCACAGGTGGTCGTTCCTCGCTGACTGAAGCGCGCTCCTCACTGCCTCCCTCTTTAGGCTCCTGCTCACTGTTTGGTTTTGTGGCCGATTCAGCTGAAATAAAAGTATAAAAGGGTTACTTACTCAGAGTATCCAGTGTCCGTGAGAGGCACTACCTGAGCAAACTGCACTACCACCTCTCACAGCACACAGACTCAAAAAAGATAGTCTTGTCAGCTTAATCCTAGCATCTGGGAGCCCACTTGACTGGCACCCTATTCATCACTGGCAACATTAACTCCTGTCACTACAGATGCAAGTGCCGACATAATGCATCTTTAGATTGTGCCTTGGTGAGCTTCTTAGTGCACTATCAACGCCACCTTCCAAAGTCACACGTACAACCGCCTAGAAGAACAGCAACAGATACACAAAAACATTACCTTCTGAAGGTCCCCCTCCAAACCACACACCATCCTGACTTGAAACTTTATCGGCTGTGTCTTCACTGCCATTAGATTAAAGCCTGGAATTCACTCCGTAACAGCACCATGAACATCACTGCACCACAGGGTGCAGAAGTTCAAAGTTCATGACCAACTCAATGTCAATTAGTAATGAGCAAAACATACTGGGCCTAACAATCAACACACACATCCCAAAGAACAAAAACAGTGTAAACACCGTGAATAAGGCAGTGAAACCACTAACTGTAACATCAGAGTAAAAAAAATCCAGGAAACACTCACTACAGCTGCACTGCAAACAGCAAATCAGAGCAAGAAACCCGAATCACTAAAACTAGAGGTCCAATGTTAAATGTGAATCAATGAGGGCTCACATCTTAGAGACACTGTCAGTGCAGTTCCAGCATAAAGACAATGAATCAGAGTGAGAAACCCCACACATTTGATCGTACAGTTGATGTAAACCTTCATGATGTATCTCACACTGAGATAGTTAGCATAAAGCCTTCTTGAGAAACTCTTCAAACTGAGTAAACAGTTAATATAAACCCTCTTGAGATCCCTCGTATAAACCTTCCCCCCCGCCCCACACTGACAGTACAGTTCGTGTAAACTATCAGCGTAAAACCCATCACAGACCCCTTATGTAAACCCTGAGTGACTGACCCCTCACACTGATGGAAGTGCTCGTGCCAGATGCCTCACATTGTAGGCAAACTAGTGTAAACCCAGTGAGAGACCCTTTACATAAACTGGCTGAGGCAAGATACCTCAATGGTGGTACAGTTAGTGTAAACCTCTAACACAAGATCCCTGTCCCTAATGGTACAGTTAGTAAACCCTCAGTGAAAATACACTCAAACTGACAGTACAGTCCCACCATTACACGTCAGTAAACAACACCTCAGATAAATCCTACGCCAAACTCCTACATACTTGCGATAAAGTTAGTTTAAATCCTGAGTCAATGAAACGTCCCCGGCACAGTGCCAGCCCAAACCCCGGGGGCACCGGCAGCACAGTGCCAG